CTGGCAGGCAACAGAGACATTTTGTCCACATGCAGTATACTTTGCCAACTAAATATTTTTTTTCTAGAACATAAATCTGAAATTGTGGTTTGGAACAGTGAGGTCTGATTCTTGATAAGGATCTTTCCAATAAATTGCACAGAACTTTGTACCCTCCCAGTAAAACATATCTTGCCTTATCTTGTAACTCAGGTATCTTTATACTTGCTTTATTCTTCTCCAGCAGGTTATAAATTCTTGAAAATCTTGCCTTATTTTATCCTTTTATCTCCACACAGTGCCTTACACATGGTAAATGATCAACAAATGTTTAATTTGGATTTAATTCTGGTTTTTAAAAAACTTTTTAATTGGCATACAACATTATATTAGTTTCAGGTGTACAACACAATGATTCACTGTTTGTATGTATTGCAAAATGATCACCACAGTCTAGTTAGCTGGCATCTGTCACCACACAGTTACAGAATTTTTTTTCTTGTGATGACAAATTTTAAGATCTACTCTCTTAGCAATTTCCAATATACAATACGGGGCCAGCTCCGTGGCCAAGTGATTAAGATCACGCACTCCGCTTCGGCAACCCAGGGTTTCGCTGCTTTGAATCCTGGGCGCGGACGTGGCACCACTCATCAGGCCATGCTGAGGCAGCATCCCACATGCCATAACTAGAAGGACCCACAACTAAGAATACACAACTATGTACCGGGGGGCTTTGGGGAGAAAAAGGAAAAAATAAAATCTTTAAAAACATGTATGTATATATAATACAGTATTATTAACTATGGTCCCCATGCTGGACATTCCATCCCCATGACTTATTTATCTTATAACTGGAAGTTTGTACCATTTGACCTCCTTCATCCATTTCACCCACCCCTACCCTACCTCTGGCAACCACCAATCTGTTCTCTGGATCTATGAGCTTGGTTTTTGTTTGTTTTAGATTCCACATGTAGGTGAGATCACACAGTGTTTGTCTTTCTCTGTCTGACTTGTTTCACTTAGCATAATGCCCTCAGGGCTATCCTGTTGTCACAAATGGCAAGATTTCATTCTTTTCATGGCTGAATAATATTCCATTGTGTATATATACTAGGTTTTCTTTATCCATTCATCCATCGATGGACACTTAGGTTGTTTCTATATCTTGGCTATTGTATATAATGCTGTAATAAACATGGGGGTGAAGATATGTTTTTGAGTTAATGTTTTCGTTTTCTTCTGATAAATACCCAGAAGTGGAATTGTTGGATCATATGGTAATTCTATTTTTAACTTTTTGAGGAATCTCCATACTGTTTTCCATAGTGGTTGCATCAATTTCCCCTCCAACCAATGGTGCCCAAGGTTGCTCTTTTCTCTATATCCTCACCAATACTTATTTCTTGTTTTTTTGATCATAGTCATTCCGACGTGTGTGAGGTGAGCATCTCATTGTGGTTTTGATTTTGCATTTCCCTCATGATTAGTGATGTTGAGCATCTTTTCATCTACCTGTTGGCCATGTGTATGTCTTTGTTGGAAAAATGTCTATTAATTAATTCTGTTTTTTAATGAAGACTTCATCACAATTCTTATAATGAGTGTAAATTATCATTTAAACTATTTATACACAATTGCACTATTTTTCTTCCAATGTTTTGTGGAAAGGAAATCATCAATAAATATTTGTTGAATTTAATTGAAAATGTTTAAAAGAATTTTACTTACTTTTTTGGATTTTCTTTTAATGATTTTATTTTTCCTTTTTCTCCCCAAAGTCCCCCAGTACATAGTTGTGTATTTTTAGTTGTGGGTCCTTCTAGTTGTGGCATGTGGGATGCCGCCTCAGCACGGCCTGATGAGCGGTACCATGTCCGAGCCCAGGATCTGAACCGGTGAAACACCCAGCCACCAAAGCGGAGCATGCAAACTTAACCACTTGGCCACGGGGCTGGCCCCCGACTTTTTTGGATTTTTTAATCAATTTTTATGAGGGTTATAAATCCCCCTTTTGCTTGACCACCTAAAATCAATCCCTTTAAAAAAGGAAAGAAATAAAAGAGTAACCCAAGCACAACCACCAGATTTTGAAAGAATTTCATAATATGTCAGTTTTCTATCCCATGCTTATCACCCTTCTCTTTTAAATCAGAAATCTCCCTCTTGGGACTGGCCATGGCAGAGTGGTTAAGTTCGCACTCCACTTTCACTGGCCCAGGGCTTCGCTGGTTCGGATCCTAGGCGCAGACATGGCACCGCTCATCAGGCCACGCTGAGGCAGCGTCCCACATGCCACAACCAAAAGGAACCACAATTAAAAATATACAACTATGTATTGGAGAGATTTGGGGAGACAAAGCAGGAAAAAAAAAAAAAGGAAGATTAGCAACAGTTGTTAGCTCAGGTGCCAATCTTTAAAAAAAAACAAAAAGAAATCTCCATCTTGATCAAACTACATAATTTCACCCAATTCATGCACTGATCTCCTCTCCTTTTTATCTACTTATAAGCATTTACCATACTTGCTTCATCTATTACATCATTTCTTTCCCCTTTCCATTATCATTTAAGGTTAATTAATTATTCTCACTAAGGGTAATAAAGAGAATCATACAAGTGTAATTCCAAAAAGTGGCAAAATCTAAAATAACGAAGTGGCTTGCACATGCAACCTTTGCTGAGATATGTAGTGGGTTTGTGTGACAGTCCGGGCTACGTGTGAGGTGGCCTGAGTATGTTAATGATAGAGTGGAGCTGACCTCGTCATGTAGACTAACAGGAAGCATTCTCTTCTGTGCTCAGGTTCCTACAGTGTCTGTAGGCCACAGAAGATACTGACACATCTGTTCACTAAGCCACAAACCACATAGATTTAGCTTCAGTCCCACAAGAGTTTAAAAACTCAACGTCTAGCAACTGGTTGAAGCCCCAGCTATTTTCTCTGATTTCCCATATTCCTTCTCACTGCATGTCTGACTTACTAGAACCTAATTCCTGCCGCAAATGTAATGTGTCCCTCCTCTTCAAGCCCTCAGCATGAAGCTTATACTTAATTAATGATTTATCTCATTCTGCTTTGCCTGACTGTTGTCTTGCCTGTAAATTGTGAACCCTTAAGACTAAGACCAGGTGTTTTCATCTTTATTTTCTCACTCCTTCCCTGTCACCCCACTGTGGGCCCAGATGTTCACCAAAATAAAAATAAAGTTGTGTTCCAGAACTTATTTGGTCTTAGCCTCCTTTGGGATCCTAAAGCTGCACCACCACTTCTGGTTTATTTTAGGGTTGTACACATAGGCCACATATGACTCTACATAGACATTTAAGCATCATTTATACAGCAGAAGTGTGTACAAGTGTTTTTGACAAAGAGCAATATGATCAGGAAACAATGTATGTGGAAGGCTAATTTTCTAATGCAGAAGCAAGCAATTCCAAAAAATTAACTTTTGCAGTAATACAAAAGATATCCAAAAATACTTTATTCAACTTTATTTATACACAAGTGCCTTGTTATAGAGTTAGTATCCATGCCAACAGTGCTAGTAGTTATTACTCAGTTTTGACTGAGGAAGCAGAACACTGGTATTTCTCACAAGGCATAGCTGATGTGAGGGCATATTTCAATTCAGGCTCCAGATTCATATAGCAAATGCAACTGAAATTCTCAACTTGAAACTTGAAACTTTCATAGCACCCAGCTGGATCCAAACATTGCCTAGAGTTTGACCACATGGTCAGAAAGTTTAAAGTTATTTCTGGAAAAGTTTTTTAATTGAGATATAATTGACATATAACATTGTATTCATTTTAGATGTACAACGTAATGATTATGTATACATTGCAAAATGATTACGAGGATGAGTTTAGTTAACCTCCATCAACTCACAGTTACAATTTTTTTTTCTTGTGATGAGAACTTTTAAAATCTACTCTCTTAAAACTTCCTGAAAATTTTTCACAGGAAAACTGGTAGGAATCATGGTCAGCCTATCTGGCATAGGTCCTGAGCACTGGGGCAGAGGACATTTACTAAATCAGGTCTGGAGAGAGTGCTGAAGGCCAAAGCCAGAAAATCCTGCTCAAATGGATTGTGCAAGTAAAAACGACATGAGCATATATTAAAATGCAAGGGGATTGCCGAGCCAAGCAGGCCAAGAAAATAAATGGGACAATCTGGACAGAAAATGGCAGGCTGTCTGGATGAAACCCAGTGAGAGCTGATATTGCCTGAGGCTGGATCTCATGTTTTAGGGCAGATCTGATTCATTTAAAGAGTTTGGAATGGAGCAGACACTAAACTTCATATGCTGTCAAAGTTCCAGGGATACTGTGTCCTTAGCTCAGTCAGTTCCTGTCCAAAGGGAAAGTTCTGGGACAGACTGACAGGTCAGTCATATCTAGAGGCATATCACTGGTTTTAAGTAATTTATCATGTTATTTGGTGTAGGTTTATTCATGTTTCTTGTTCTTGGGGTTCACTGAGCTTCTTTGATCTACGGGTTTATAATTTTTATCTAATTTGGAGTTTTCAGCCATTATTTCTTCAAGTAATTTTTCTGTCCCCTACACCCTTCTTCAGGGACTCCAATTATACATACATTAGGCTGCTTGAAGTTATATGACAGCCTCCCCTATACTGTTTATTTTTTTCTTTCAGTCTTTTTTCGCTTGATTTTAGTTTTTATGGCTGTCTTCAGATTCACTAATCTTTTCTTCTTCAGTATCTAATCTGATGCTAACCTCATGCAATGTATTTTTCATCTCATTGTAGTTTGCATCTGGTATTTCATTGTGGGTCTTTTTATATCTTCCATATCTCAACTTAATGTGCTCAATCTTTCCTCTATCTTCTTGAACATATGGAATATAGTTATAGCACCTGTTTTAATATCCTTGTCTTGTAATTCTATTATCTGTGGCATTTCTGGGTCTGATTCTACTGATTTACGGTTGCCCTCATTATAGATTGTATTTTCCTGGTTCTTTGCATTTTTGTAATTTTTAAAAATTAAATGCCAGACATTGTGAACTTTACCTTGTTGGATACTGGATGTTTTTGTACTCATACATATATTTTTGAGCTTTCTTCTGAGATGCAGTTAAATCATTTACAAATAGTTTGATCTTTTGGAGGCTTGCCCTTAAGCTTTGTTATATGGAACTAGGGTTGCCTTTAGTCTAGGGCTAATTTTCCCCCTCTGTCTAGGGCGAACATGAACTATTCTTTTCCCTATGTGAGCTTTGAGAATTGTTTCCTCTGCTCCTTTCAGGTAGTTCTTCCACAGACTTGGATGGTTTCCTTCCTCATATGCACTGACTATTATCCAGCTGAAAACTTGAGGGGACTCTCTCAGATCCCTAGAGAGTCTCTCTGTGCAGGTCTCTTGCCTCTGGTACTTTGCCCTGAAAATTCCAGACACTTTGGCCACCCTGGACTCTGTATCCTCAATTGAAGGAGATTACCAGGCTCTGCCTGAGTTCTCCCTCCCTGTGCCATGCCTGGAAACTCTTTCCAGGCAGCAAGCTAGGGTAATCACAGGGCTCACCTCTCTCAGGGATCATTGTCCTACAGTCTTTGATGTCCAATGTCTGAAAACTTGTTTCATACATTTTGTCAATATAGTTTTTTAGTTGTTTTGAGCAGGAGGGCACTTCAGGCCTTGTTACTACATCTTGCCAAAGAAGAACTTGCAAAGTCAATAGAACCACCAGTGGCTGCATGGACTGCATCTGAGTTTCTCCACATCCTGAAGTCCCCTGGGAAGCCAAAATATGAAAGGAGTCTCAGACCCTGAAATCACTGCATGGAGGGAAGCTGCCTGCCAGAAACACCTGCACTGATTAGCTAGGTGATGACTAAATTTACAGTGTGTTAAGCTACTGCCATTTGGGGGTTACTTTGTTAAAGCACTGAGTGTCACCCAACCAATACAGGGACCCCCTCTAGGCCAGGTACTGTGCTAAGTCCTGGATGTTCAATGAGAAACAAAAGAGTCATGGTCCCTTGTTCCTGCATCTTAAAGATCAGTTAAGAAGGATAAAAATAAACAAGGAAAGAAATAGATATATGCAGTCACACCCTGCCAAGCACCTCCCAGCTTCATGTCTTCCTAGTAGAATGCATCTAGTTTTTTAAAATTTTTTTCTGCTTTTTTTTTTCTCCCCAATACCCCAGTATGTAGTTGTAGATTTTAGATGTGGGTCCTTCTAGCTGTGGCATGTGGGATGCCACCTCAGCATGGCCTAATGAGTGGTGCCATGTCCATGCCCAGGATCTGAATGGGCGAAACCCTGGGCCGCCAAAGCGGAGCGCACAAACTTAACCACTCGGCCACGGGGCCAGCCCCTGCATCTTGCTTTTTAATACAAAAACTTCAGAGAATATATTTTTCCATTGATGCAGTGGATTTTTGTTGACTAATATTTGTACAGGAAATGTTTATATTCTCCCCAAACTCGATGTAACATTTTAAAACAGAATGATGTATATGAAAAATCTTGCACTGCATTTCGAACACAATTGGCAGAATATCAGAATCACATACTGATATTTTTCCAACTTTTTATTTTCAAGCATTTCAAATCCGAAAAACAGAAAAGTTTAAAGAATATACAGATATGCCTCGCCTAGAGTCACCAGTTGATAACATTTAGCCACATTTGTTTTCTCTCTCTCTTTAGACACACACTTACTTTGCTAAACCATTTGAAAGTAACTTGCAGGCATGATGATACTTTACCCCTAAATTCTTCAGTATTTATCTCCTATGAAGAAGGACATTTTCTTTTCTTTTCTTTTCTTGGGGGGAAGATTAGCCCTGAGCTAACATCTGCTGCCAATCCTCATCTTTTTGCTGAGGAAGACTGGCCCTGAGCTAACATCTGTGCCCATCTTCCTCTACTTTATATGTGGGATGCCTGCCACAGCATGGCTTGATGAGCAGTGCAAAGATCCACACCTGGGATCTGAACCAGTGAACCCCTGGCCACCGAAGCGGAATGTGCAAACTTAACTGCTGAGCCACTGGGATGGCCCCAAGGACATTTTCCTACATGATCATAATATGACTATCACATCCAAGAAATTTAACATTAATATACAATATTATCTAAAGCATAGTCTATGGTAAAATCTTCCCATTTGTCTATAACTGATTTTATTAACTTATTATCCCTTTGTCCCCAAAATAATTCTTCTTCCTCCTACCCCCCAATAGTTATAGATCCTCTCCAAAACTAAACCAATCCCAACTTGATCTAGAGATTCAATGTAATCCCAATCAAAATCCCAGGAAATTATTTTATGAACATTGACAAACTGATTCTAAAGTTCATATGGAGAGGTAAAGGACCGAGAACAGCCAACATAGTATTGAAGAAGAACGAATTTGGGGAACTGATTCTACCTGACTTCAAGACTTACTATAAAGCTACAGTAATCCAGATGGTGTGATACTGGCAAAAAGGTAGACAAATAGACAATGGAACAGAATAGAGAGCCCAGAAATAGATCCTCATAAATATAGTCAACTGATCTTTAACAAAGGAGCAAAGATAATACAATGGAGCAAAGACAGTCTCTTCAACAGATGGTGCTAGAACAACTGGACATATACATGCAAAAAATTGAATCTAGATCCTCACACTTTTCATGAAAATTGACTCAAAATGAAGTGCAGACTTAAATGTAAAATGTAGAACTATGAAACTTTTAGAAGATAACATCAGAGAAAACCTAAGTGACCTTGGGTTTGGCAATCACTTTTTAGATACAACACCAAAGGCATGATCAATGAAAGAAATAACTGATAAACTGGACTTCATTAAAATTAAAAATTTCTGCTCTGTGAAAGGCAATATCAAGAGAATGAGAAGAGAAGTTACAGACTGTGAGAAAATATTTGCAAAAGACATGTCTGATAAAGGACCACTATTCGAAACATAAGAAGAGCTCTTAATACTTAACAAGAAAACAAACAACCCAATTAAAAACTGGGCCAAAGACCTTAAAAGACATCTCACCAAAGAAGACATACAGATGTCAAATAAACATATGAAAAGATGCTCCACATCTATGTCATCAGGGAAAGGCAAATTAAAATAACAATGAGATACCACTACACGCTTATTAGAATGGCCAAAACCTGGATCACTGACAACACCAAATGCCGGTGAGGATGTGGACCAACAGGAACTCTGATTCATTGCTGTGGGGATGCAAAATGGTACAGCCACTTTGGGAAACAGTTTGGTGGTTAAAACTAAACATACTCTTACTCTATGATCCAGCAATCATGCTCCCTGGTATTTATCCGAAGGAACTGAAAACTTACGTCCACACAAAAACCTGCACATGGATATTTATAGAAGCTTTATTCATAATTGCCAAAACTTGGAACCGATCAAGATGTCCTTCAGTAGGTGAATGAATAAATAAACTGTGGCACATCCAGACAATGGAATATTCTTCAGCGTTCAAAAGAAATGAGCTGTCAAGTCGTGAAAAGACATGGAGGAACCTTAAATGCATATTACTAAGTGACATAATCCAATCTGAAAAGGCTACCTACTATATGATTCCAACTAGGTGACACTGTAGAAAAGGCAAAACCATGGAGACAGTAAAAAGATCAGTGGTAGCAGTATGCCTACATGGGGTGGGAGTAGGCGGCATCTCTATTCCTGACATGGCCACCTCTTTGGCTAACAACAGGTAATGGGCCTCTCTTATAGCCCGGGCTCTAGAGTTAGACTCTCTGCTTTTGAGCCCAAGCTCTGCCAATTATAAACTGTATGACTTTAAATTCTAGTTACTTAATTATTCTGCCTCTCTAAGCCTCAGTTTTCCCATTAGTAAAATGGGGATAATGGTCCCTTCCAGAGAATTATATGAGTTGCTGTTTATAAAGAGTATGTTAGTATGCCCAGGATAAAATAGCTACCATTTACTGCACCCTTACTTTCAATTGGTGACTCCCCTTGTCAAAGTATCTTTGCAGGTCCCAGGAGGGGACAGGTGCATGATAGATTCTCCCTGGAGTCTGTGCCCTGAGCTATGGGGGAAGTGCCTAGCTTCAGCGTTAGGCGCTGTAGCAGTATGTACACTCTTTGGTGTCTGACTTCTTGCACTTAGCACCGTGTTTTCTTCCCCAATGTCTTAGTATAAAATGTTCAATCATAAAGAAAGGAAAACCAGAGTGCCTGAGCATTTACTCTGTGTTGGGGAAGGGCTCCTCGCTGTGGAGCGAAAGCAGGGAAGCCGGTCATCACGAGTAAGGAACAGCAGCAGTACCTGACACAGAAATGCCACATCTGTACCTTGGCTTGGCTTCCATCTGTGTCAGCATCTCCCTTCAGGCCTGGGACATTGCTGAACCAGCTGGTGGCCTTTGGGCTCTGATGACTTTTCTCTCCTCTGACCTTGACTATCTCTCTCCATCACCCTCTGTGCTTAACACATTCTTTTACTGCTTCATGAGGCAGACAACAGATAGACAGAACTCCAACAGCCCATGGGATAAATCAGATGGACAGGGAGGCTAGAGAAACATAGTAGAGGGACGTAGATCACTAAAACAAGAGATAATCAAATCCTGGTTGACAAAAAGAAGAGGGCCAAGGACAGAGCCAATATTTAAGGGGCAAACAAAGGAAAGAGGTCCATAAAGAGACTGAGAAGGAATGATCAGAGAGGTGGGAGGTAAATCTGGAGAGAGCTGGGCCCTAAAAGCAAAGGAAGAAAGGGTTTCAACAAGAGCGGAAGGTCAAGACTGTCCAATTAAGATGAGGTATGCCTTGTATGCCTATCGGGTTAGGAAACCTCATCAATCTTTTCCCACTCCACCATGGGAGCTCTGGCAGCCAGACATTTCCTCTACAGGCAGGAGATTGGAAGAGTCATCTCTGCAAAATCTGACCGGCTTAAAAGGGAAACTTTGAAAATACTGACCATGGAGGTTCCCCAGGGAACTAGCTCAGCCATATCATCCACTGAGATGCTCAGAATGCATTAGACCCACTTAGGAGCTCCGAGCTTCCAACCCACTTCTGTTTGCCTGTTTGTTTTAAAATCAACTTTATCAATGTACAATTTACATAAATAACACACTCATTTTAAGTGTATAGTTCAGTGACTTTGACAAATGTATACTCCCTTGTAACTACCATCCAATCAATGAACAGATATTTCCATCATCCCAAGAGTTTCCTCCTGCCACTTTACCAACAGCACGTCCCCTCTCAGGCAACCACGGATGTCCTTCCTGTCACTATAGATTTGCTTTGTCTGTTCTAGAATTTTGCATAAACAAACCATGCAGTATGGATTTTTTGTGTGTCTGGATTCTTTCCGTTAGCACGTTTTCTTCCTAAACCTTTTGTTATAGAAATGTTCAATCATAAAGCAAAGCTGAAATAATTTTTACAATGTTTCCTGTAAAGATTAAATGATTTGATATTTGTTTGTTTATTTATTTATTTTGCTTGAGGAAGATTTGCCCTGAGCTAACATCTGCACCAATCTTCCTTTATTTTGTATGTAGGTTCCTGCCACAGCATGGCTGTCGATGAGTGGTGTAGGTCTGTGCCTGGGAGCCAAACCCGGGCTGCCAAAGGGGAGCATACCAAACTTAACCACTAAGCCACGGGGCTGCCCCTGAAAGAATTTTACAATGAATACCAATATACCTACCCCTAGATTATACCATTAGATTCTGCTACACTTGCTTTAACACATCCATTTGTCCATCTGTCAAACC